CACACACACACACACACACACACACACACACACACACACACACACACACACACACACACACACACACACATGAAGATGATGTGAGGTCAGACATCAATTCAGCCTAAAATTTATCTGCAGCAATTGTTTTTTATTTTAAAAATTTATTCATTTCATTTAAAAACAAAACAATACATACAACAATAATACAACACAAATAAAATGGTAGCAGAAAGAAGAAAATATTATTTTTGATATCTGCCCCTTTTTCAAAAATAAATAAATTGAAACAATAAAAATCTTCAAATAACAAAACATAACAAAAAACTTTAACTCCTTCTCGAACAACAGTTCTTATGAATGCACATTATACAAATTCATATTTTTTTCAACAATCTAACTTTTATCATTCTCTTAAATTAATTTATTGARCCAGCATTTTTATGATCACTTTCCAGATSGTTCCATACTCTTATTCCTTGGACTGAAGTAYATCTGTCCTTCAGATTTGTTCGAATTTCAGGTTTTACAAACATCTCTATACCCACAAGATTATAATTAATTACTCTCTTTAAATTATTTGACTCTTTAGAGGTAATAAATTTTTATGAGCTTTATACATAACCTGAAAAATATTATGATCAACCAACTCATAAAATTTCAATAATTTCAACTGACAAAATAATATATTTTATGGGTGACAGTCATGTTTTCTGGTGATAATTCTTACGGCTCTTTTCTGTAAAATAAAGATGGGATTTGTAATGTATTACATGCTTTCCCCCAGACTTCAATACAGTAAATCAAATGTGGAACAATTATTGCATTATATAACATAAACAAAGCTTTGTCATTAAATAAGTCCCTTACTTTATACAAAACTGCAATGGATTTGACTATTTTTGTTCTTAAGTGGTTTATGTGGGATTTCCATGTCAGCTTTTCATCAATAATAACACCCAAAAACTTCACCTCATTGACTCTACAGATCTCAACATCATCGACTTGAAAAGGAAAATCTATAGCTCTGATTCTGTTACTGAAAAATAGTTTTCAAAAAGAAAAAAAAATTGTGTAGGTCTTCTGGATGGGTTCTTCTCTAATGAAACGTTTCGTCTCTCCTCCAAGAG